GGTAATTGTTTGCTGTTGTTGTTTATAGAAATTTCAATAGTTTTGCATCTTACATGATAAAACTACAGTCGACTCCCGATAACTCGAACCTTCAAGGGAAATCGAAAAAAGTTCGAGTTATCGGGAGTTCGAGTTATCGGGAACTCGAAGAAAATAGCCGAGAGTAAGGTAAAAAACAGTTTTTACTGCACAGTGAACATTTGAACCACATTTAATTGTAGAAATGTCAAGTGAAAATTAAAAGATACTTCTAGATTATAAATCAGAACGTAACGTAACAAAACATAGCCTAAATAGAGCATGCGTTTTACTGTTTTGAGAAGTAAAGCTGCTTCACGTTAGCCTGTGACAATCAACATCAGCCTCCTACAACACGCTAATAGGAAATCCAAAATTCAATGTTTCGGACACCAGTACACGGCTTTTTTCCCGAATTTTCAAGGGCTCAAAACATGGTTCGAGTTATCGAGGTTAAAATTATATAGAAAATGACCTGAGGGGAAACGAAAATTGGTTCGAGTTAGCGGGAGTTCGAGTTATCGAGGGTTCGAGTTACCGAGGGTAAAATTACAGTAAACAGGGGCACCAACGACAATTTTCGGAAAATATCTGTTCGGAAGACGATTTGAGATCTAGAATTTTCGGAACCTTTTTGTGTAAAATTTCTTGCTTGCTTGCCTCTCCTAGGATTTTCGAACATCTAAAAAATGGTATAATTGCCTATTTTTAACGGATTTTTACCCTAAAAAGGTCACCTAGAAATTTCGGGAGCCTTTTTTCTGGCTGGAGTTTTCGAAAAGGTAAGTTTTGATCCCTATAATTTTCGGATCACTAGATTTTCAGCTAGGAAATCCGAACAGATGAAAAATTTTTAGGGGATAAAAATATGCCTATATCTACCGTTTAAATACTAAAATACGTTTAACAATGCTATGTTTAAGTGGTTTTGAACTATATTCTCGTTGGGTGCCCCTGAGTAAATGTATGACGGAAATCCGGGGGAAATCGATTTTGGTTCGAGTTAGCGCGAGGTTCGAGTTAGCGATGGTTCGAGTTATCGGGAGTCCACTGTATCAGTTAACGAAACAAAATGGAGTAGTTTGATAGCCAGGAACCGCCCCTGGGGCCCATTTCTCGAAAGTCCCGGTAACTTTTCGGGCCCGAAATCAAATGTTTAAATCGAAATATAAAGAATAAGAGCGCGGGCCCTGGCCAGCAAAATACTCCATTTTGTTTCGTTAATTTTTTCTCTTTCCTGTTAGATACAAAACTACCTATATAGCCTGTATTAAGCGGAAAGTGAACCGAAGTCCCAAAATTTATTTCCCTCATTTACTTTAAATGAAACCTTTTTAAGCGGACACTAAGCGGACGCGGACGCGGACGCGGACGCCTAAAAAGTACCTGAAATGGTCATTTCTATTGTTGCCAACCTGCATTAATTCAATTCCACCACCCAACATGCCAATCACTAGCCTCCCACGCAGGCGTTTTTACGGGAGCTTGTTTGTGGGGAGGGATGAAAGACGGGCTCCCCTAAAAACGCCTGTGTGGGAGGCTAGCCAGTCACCGGAAATGCGAAAGATTGCCTCGAATTGCCACCTACAAATTTTTCGATTTTTACATTGAAAAACGTGACTTGACGAACTTATTTTATTAGTTTCACAGTACAGTATTGTTTTCTATTTCGTTTTGTTTGTACAGAGCTTGTTCACTCATTTTTGATTTCTTCAAATTTGAGTTGCAATCTATGTTTATGGTACTATGATTAATTGGTCCACTTTGATATAGAAATTACCTAATGCAAACGTATATCGTCATAGTCTCTGGGAATGTTCTAAACGTTTCTACTGTTCATTTGAATGGCATTTGACACCTCATTTGACGTTGTCTATTGAAACCTGTATTAGGGGGACACCCTGTATTAAGCGGACACTACAGCATTACCCGAGGGCGTCCGCTTAATACAGGTTTCACTGTAAATCATTCCAACAACAAAGAAAGATGATCTGCAGGAAATTTGGAAATTTGGACTAGGAAGCGAGGTGTGTAACTGACGTATTTAACTGATACCAGCTCGCTATTTCACCTATTTGGAGAACAAGGAGCACAAATGTTTAAAAAGTCTACAGTCTTCATTCTGCGTTTTGCACCCAGCCTACTCTCAGTCTGCAGTCTGCAGTTTTACACTCAGTCTGCATTTTATCCCTGGTCCGCAGTCTGCGTTTTACACTGACCGGAATATTAAGTCATTGTGCAGCGGCGTACTACATGTATTCATCGAGATAACGAGCGTTTTTGGCGCAGAGGAGTAGGCCGTAGCCAGGTTTTTTTACGGGGAGGTGCGATCCAAAGAGGAGGCGGACCAAATGAGACCGGAGAAGTACGGCTGGGTAGGGGGTAAGGGGAAGGGGGGGGGGGGGTGGGGGGGGGGGGGGGGGGGGGGGGGGGGGGGGGGGGGGGGGGGGGGGGGCGTTGGAGAACTCGGTTGTCTGAGACTGTATTACAAATGTTTAGAAAAACATGGATATTTTTTTCAAATTTTGGAACTTCAAAATTGATTATTTTTTGCAAAGAGACAACTTTATTATTATCTGTTAGACGGTAGATGTGCATAAGAGGGGTGCCTCTCTTATGCCGCGATTATTCCTTTTTGCCACAGAAAACAGCAGATAATTTAAACCATGTTCAAAGACAAAGGGATGCTCAAAAAAAAAATTACAATATGTATCTTCATCTCCTTCAAGCACACGTGGATCAGAGATCCACCCTTTGTAATTGGCTGTTTAACGGGCAATTCGAAAACGAGAATTCGCATTCTCTGAAACGGTCCGATAAATGCGTCCAGTCAGAAACGGTTGTACCGCTTTCGCCAGAAAACGAAAACAAAAAAAAGCTGGGTCAGAGCATGTCAAAACTATAGCAGGGAATCTCATACCCTGTCATACTGTTAAACTGACAATTCAGATCCAACACTTTGCAGAAAACTTTGGAACCAAACCCTAAAGGTTAATGGGCCGCTTTTAAAAGCGAGAAAGGAAAATCGTTACACCTACAGCTAGCGATCAGAGGTCACAGGGGCGGATCCAGGATTTTTTTTAGGAGGGGGTGCACTCGTCTCTTGCTCTACTTCAACACCAATAAACCACATAGTTTATTTTTGCAGAATACTAGTTGTATTAGAAAACCGCAGGTCATCTCAGAGGAGGGGGGGGGGGTGCGCACCCCCTGCACCCTCCCCCTAGATCCGCCCCTGCGGTCAATTTCTGATAGAGCAAAGAGAAGAATCCACAGGAAATCACTGTACAGCACAAGACCACATAACCTCTCATTGAAAGAAACCTTTGTTAAATCCACACTACGAATCCTCCAAAACAGACTTTACCAGTTAAGGACAAAATGAAGGAGCAAGTGACGTACTAGCAGGTGTAAATGCCTTGTAGGTACAACAAATCCTCTTTTTTCTAGTTTAACCCTTTAATCCCTAAGAGTGATCAGCATCAAATTTCTCCTTGTAATATCAATGCTTTGTAAAACAGAGTGGTCAAGAGAATTACGAATATAATCACACAAGATGAATTTGACATGAGAGACGATGCAAGATTTCTCACCTTGCTCTTTTTTCGCGCTCCCGGCCAGTGAGACTTTCAAAAAAGTCCTTCGCCGGATTTCATATGGCGCGGGACGACCTCTCGCGACTTCGTCGCTCGCGGTCGGCCGCTTTGCGGCCAAAAACCAAAAAAGGCTCGCTCCGCTCGCCAAGAGGTCGACTTGTGGCAAGTCTACCCGGCCAGGTAATAAAGCGCATCAAACATTGCCTGTGAACAGGCTCTCTGTTTGGGGAAAGGGTGAAAAAATCGCGAGGAGAGGGAAGGGAAAGGGAAAGGAGCTTTTAGAACATAGACTATCATCTCAGATGTGGTTGAAAGAAGGATAAAAAATAATGAATAAAGTTGGGTTATCGCAGAAAAAAAAATATAGATTACTTCAGGGTTGGTGAGCGCGTACGGTTTTAATCATGAGTTGTGTTTAATCACAGTTAAATCACAATAAAATGCAAACAAAATTACTTCCTCTCAGTTCACAAACTTGGCCTGTATACAGACGTTGTTTTAATTTTCTTTTAGTTCTTTTCGAAAACATCAGCGAGCGAAGAGAGCGGGCGAGAAAGAAAAATAAAAAGAACGTCTGTTTTCTTCTTCCCCCACCATTACCCCCTTGCGCTGGCGGTTAATAAATCCCCTGCGGTTTACCGATATTCTATTTATAACCCGCGCTCGACGGACTTTGAGGAGAAAACAGAGGATCTGTGAAGAGGCTACACAAACTCTCTATTTTCTCTTAAGAGATCGTCGAGCACTCGTTCTCGCGCTCCGCGCTCGCTGTCGCGCGCTTACCAGATTGTCTAGGCCTCAGTCTCCAGCCTTGAGCGTTTCGATGTGCCCGCGGTACTCCCGGAGTATCTGGTTATCCTTAAAATTATCAATGCCAAACCTCTCAAGGGTGAACGAACAGCCTTTTTAAACTCGCTAAGAAATTCTTTATCGTCCGCCATGTTTGTTTACGTTAGCTTCCCGCTCATAATTTATGCATTACTTTTAAAGTGAAAAGACAGCGGGGCTGCCAAAATTTTGCGGGATGGCTTCTGATTGGTCAATTTTAACAATAGCTAAACCCGTGCGCCTAGCCGTTGGGTGGGGAGTACCGCGGGCGCATCGAAACATCCAACCAGCCTGCACATTTCCGAAAATAATAATAAAAAAATCTGTGAAAAGGCTATCAAGAGTCGAAGTTCCCAACAATTCGCTGATCTATGCGTTCAGCTCCGGTCAAGTTGGGGAAAGTTCTTCTTGTTTTCTCCTCCGGCTAGTTGGAATTCGTAACCTTTTTATATTCAATTGATTAATTTGTCTCAGTCATTTGCTCAAGCCCGCTAGCGTTTGTGTTACCAATATTCATTATTATCCTTACGCAGTTAAAGAGAATCAGGAGAATTTGGTCTTTCACAAAATTAAAGGTTTCTCAATTTCGCATGATACCTAATGTGAGGATAAGGTATTTCCACTTGAATCAATATTGGTACCCCGCAAAATTTTAAGCTTCAAACACGCTGTATTTGGGTTGTCGTTTAGACTCAGATAAGAGAGGTTCTGTTGGGCCGGTTCTTGATAGCTGGAATTCCAACCTAGATCGGGTACTGCAGAGTTTCTCATCACAACTGCTTCCATCTGGGTTCAAGGAAATCTCTGGCGCCCTAAAAATAAGCAAACAATGTCTTGATTTGGCTTTCAAGAGATCGATATGTTTTATCATAATCGTTATGGGGCCATCTATTTTTTCTTTGACACATATGTTTGGGCTGTGATATACCTATGAATGCGTTAGGTACTTGTTAGGAGTTAGGAGTTGTGTAGAGTGAGAGTGTGAACAGTGTCTTCTTTGAGCGAGCGCGATATGCGAGTGCGCGAGCGGCGAACCCTCGAGCAGCGAGTTGTGCGGGCGCTCGTCACTGGCGCCTGCCCAACTCGCTGCTGGCGGCTTTGCTGCTTGGGCACTCGCATATCGCGCTCACTCACAGATTATCAAGCAAAATATAGGGACTACTTACTGTCTAGTGTAATCATGGCTGTCAGATGGGTTATCTAGACAAATATAGCACATCCTTAATTGGCAAATTCTGCATTTCCCTTTGTTACTGCTACTGTGAAAAATGCTTTTATACTTTTCCTATATCTACGGCACTTCTTTTCTGGCAGTGGCCAATTTGACAAAACGTCTTTCCTAACCCGGCTACATTCAGCAATGATGAGAGAGTACTTAATCCTTACCCCTTGTTGTAAGCGAAAATAGCCGGTACCATGATGACAAGCGCGCCAATACTGAACCAGGTGCTCACGTGAACTGCAGGGTGCCATTGGAATGGAGTTTCACGGAATAAAGTCCAAAAAATGAATCCCAGAGGAGTGACCAGCGACTAGAAAACAAACGAAAACATGGGCTGATCAAGTATTGATTGAAATGATGGCAGGTAAAGAACTATGCAACCACCACAGCCAAAGCATCGACACCGGCGTAAAAAATGACCATGTATACCCTTGGGCTTTTCCATCGCTGCTCGTAGTACTAGACAGTAGGAGAAAAAAACACGGCGACGAACTTATCACCCTTCTTGGAACATTCTATTGCCTTCACTGCACAATACGATGTGAAACTTCCTAACTTGACGTTTTATAGGGGAAGTAAACACAAGGCAACGATTCTCTTTCTTTTTTTGAAACTGGATCAGACACTTAACACTTATAAATGACCGGTCCCGAGGAAAACAGTTAAGTTTGTTTCGGAAACATTGAAATTCGAGGGAAACAAAATTAACTGTTTCCCAATTGGCCAGTCTTTAAGTGATCTGTTATACAGCTGGAAATTTAGAAGCTGGAAATACACTAAACCTCGCTGTAACGGCGGTCGTCAGGCAACCTTCGCGCGTAATAGTGCACCGACGTGATGTAACGTCATAGATTTTACAATGTTGCCCGCTCAGAGATTTTGGCGGGAAACAGTTTCATTGTTAGATGTCATGTGACCTCGAAGTAACCAATGAGAGCGCGCTGTCAGGAAAAAATTTCCTGCTGTAAAACAAAAATGATTATTCAACCCCAGGAAAATTTGCTAACCTTTGAGATTCAGTACTAATTTGGACGAGGTGAAATAATAGCGACAGAACAGAGAAAATCGCCTTCTTAAGTGACGATTTTGCTCAATCATCGCAAGCCGTCGTGGTTGCTCAAGTCCGTTGGAGCGTTGTAAGTAAAAGGCAGCATTCCCACATAAGTACCCACGCCCGAATTCGGGCGTGGGGTACGAGGTTGACATCTTATTTTAGGGCACAATAGTGGTAACCGAGTCTTTGTGTGCACACCGTTTTTGCTAGTTCCAATGCTTTGTATCGCTTGCTAATTAAAAGTAAAGTTTCATAATGGCATCTAGTAGTAGAAAATAATCTATACAGCCACATATTGGCTATCCAAGGTGTGAACACAACCATTTTTGCCTGTCCCTAGCCACTAGTGCGCGGGTACCAGTGTAGCCAGCTCCTTACGGAAGCAAAGCTTGTTGTTTTGTTTTTACCTAAGCCTCTCACCGTGACAATAGCCAGCAAAGTAGCTCCTTCCGCATGTCGTAGCAGATTTGCGCCAGCGAGGTGAGATATTACATGCATGGCAATATACAAGGTTCCTCTAAGGCCTGGGGCTTCACTACAACCTGCTCCACCAAAGAAACATTGAAATGCTGACCACCAACTGCAAACGTGAGACACGAGTCAGGAACAGGTATGATAAAACGGGCAACAAAAACTTGGTTTTGGTCATTGAGTGTAAAACGAGTTGAATAGCGATGTTGCGCGTTTGACCACCCACAAATCAAACTTTCTTGCCACAAATCAGGTTGTAGGTTGTGCAAAAGCTATTATAGTAGGAAGACAGTAGTTTTAGCTTTCGCAACAAAATCAGTTCATGTTGAAAGTTTAACAGGCCCAAGGCAAATTTGTTTTACTGCAAGAGACGCAAATCCCGTGTACCTGTTTTGCAGCAATGTTCTAAACAAGTTGCTCGTTTTTGTTGCTTGGCAAAGGGACAGAGGGACGTAGTTGCGCTGAATTTTCAAGTTTTCAATTTTCCATGCGTCTGTCTGAATTTTTTAGGAAAACCAGTCTTAAGACTCTGAAATATCAGAGAAAATGATAAAATGACTCGAGCAGATATGCCAGTCAAAGTTTGTTTGAGGCACATTAGCCTAGTTTACAACCGATAATTTATTTTAGGATTGAAGATGTTTCGTCCCAGTAAGGTGATCCGGACTCGGGAATCCGGAAACTTTAAGCTTGTGGCATCTGGAATCCGAAAAATTTTAGCTCGTGGAATACGGACAAGAGCTGAAGGAATGCGGAATCCCGCTTACGATTGGAATCCGGAATCCACTGAGAAGGAATCCGAAACCCAGCACTTGGAATCCGTATTAAATCCAGAGTGTGGAATCCGGAATCCCAGCCTCGTACCTAGGCCAGTTCGCGCTATTATAAGAGGAGGCTTGGAACCGACCTTGATAGGTTACGTCATATCCCAAATCACCGAGGACGACTGGGAAAAGGCTGCCAGAATCCAAGACTGTCCTGGATTACCTTACATAACATTCTGTCACCTGCATTTTTTAAGTTATTTTCCCAAAAGACAAAGAGAAAACCGTTGGCCTACAATTAAAAAATATATACCTTTTTCCAAAGTTCTTGATGCTGTCGACATCTCCATACCACGGGAGAATATCTGTCCAGAACAAGGCAACGATGCAGAGAAGCTCGTAGGTTGATGTCCAAAACAAAAAGTATACCAAGTTGATTTGTTTTCCTGATGTGCCACTCTCTGTCTTTACTCCTCGCTCTTCCAGGACGCGCATAAGAGCTTCTGGAAGCTAAAATTTTCAGACACAAATTAAAACTAGAAAAGATCGGTTAACTATTATCACTTGCCCAATCAGAAATCATGATCTATCCCATGCTACTCTTTGCGACGACTTCATTCTCTCCTCCGGTCTTCTGCGGCCTTTTCATGCCATGGGAGGATGGGAAGAGCGAAAAAAAATGCGTGCGAGGAGCGGTGAGAAAGGGGATCAGGGGAGTGAGCAGAGGTGGCTTTTAATGTTGAAAAGCATTTTAAAGTGGGGTATACGTTTTTAAGATCTGCTGTTAGGTATCTTATAACTTTCGTGTTTGTCTCATTAAGTTGGTCAAGGTCAGTCAGGATTTTTTGCATGTGAGTGTTTTCCTTTTTGGATCTTAAGCCTGAGCTTGAGTTTAAGCTAATAGCTCGCGAATTTGTTTAATTCCGTTCTTTCTTGGCTTTGGCTTCCCTGGCTCCAGAGGTCCATTCTCGAAATACCTTGGATGAAATAGAAATAACACATGCGTGAACTATCATGAATTACGAAAAACAAAAATGTGCGATTTACACAGGTGGTCGTGTTTGGGAGGTCAGAGCTGACCTTGGGTTTTTTATGTGCCGTTGAATGCCCTGTTTGTGTTAGGTAACCAGCGGCGCGTTGTTCAGTTTTTCATTGGGCCTGAAGCCTGTTACTGATCGTAGCCGTTTAGTTTCAGTGACACCAAAACATCACTCACACCGAGTTTCTCTTGTTGATATTTTCACCGTTAGCTAACCCAAACACGTCCTGGTTTAACTTTAAAAAACCGCTACTGTTCGTTAAGAGTAGGGGACGTAGAACCCGGTGGTGTGGTGTATCTCTCATGGTGAAGGGAACTGTTACGGGCCGGCAGTAATTGGCGCCACGCGCTGTTGCAGTGATCCTGCCAAGAATAGGCGAACATAAGTAAATGAATACGTCAGTACATTGATATACACCGTATTCACAAATGGCGGACACGCGGGAAAAAACTGGTGCCTAGTCATGAAAGCGAGGCGTTGGAGGATAAACAAAAATTTCAAATGAAGACTTTCAGTGAACTTCCAGAGTGTTTAGCACGGATTCCACCTAAAATAACTTTGTACGGACTTCTTTTTAAATACAGTTACGTGGGATGTCTTCTGCTTTTAATGTTTAGTAATGACTTGCTGTTTGCAATCAAAAGGGACGCGTATATCTGCAAGGAAACAGGATGATTTTGTAGGTTTTCGAGTCGGTTTCCGAAGCATCAGAAGCTCGACAGGTGGACGATGACTGGAGAAAAGCGGCAAACATGTTGGCCCAAACTTCACATTGAAACCGAGTACGAAAGCCAGCTCACTGTAATTCGGTGAAACAGAAATATAAACAAATCTTGGTGGCAAGAAAAAAGAAATAAGCGACAGATACATGGCCTACTTGTTAACGCAAGAGACGTCTGCCGTTGAACAAAACAGTTCAAGTCGAGATGGAAAAAAGGAAGACAGGAAAGAAGAGGTGACTGAGGTTTCGATGAAGTTATGTTTGATTTTTGTTTGCCAGGACGTTATTCTCTGGTCTTTATCAACGAAGGACATCAATTATAACTATTTTTTTTATTATAAATGCAGGAGCGATCGAGTGGAGTACGCTCAAAATTTCAACTTGTTACTCGGCAGACTCGGTAAGCCAGACACATCATTTCAGCGAGTAATTTCGTATTTCTTATCGTTGGCTGTTAAGAGTTTTAACTTTATGTTCCATTATATTTTAAAGTTGAAGAATACATAAATAAATAAAATGATGGTCTTCTTAAACGGATCCAGACTCGAATTTAATTATTCGAAACAGAAGCTTGCCATGTTCAGTCCTGACACAAACATTGCCTTAAAAGTTTAACCTAGTAAAATGTAAGCTTTATACCACTTTTTTTTACCAAGAGCTCTCTGAGATAATGCCCTAAAGGAGACCAGGCAAATAGCAAGCCATAAGATTCACACACTACAGCTTCTAATTTTGATAAAATTATTTTTAATTATTTCGCAATGACAACGAAATCATGAGATTTTTGCTAAGCTCTGCCAACGTACCTCTAACAATTCGCTCCAAAGCGACGGAATTAATATGATCCAAAGGAAGTTGTAAATACAGACATACATATATACATAGATATGTATAAGATGTCACTAACATGAATGAATGAGCCTCGTGAATGAATCTTTCACCCGCTCTCAGCTTGACCTGTTTTCAGTGGCCATATATCCGTCGCTTATTTCTCTTTTTCTCGCCACCAATATCTGTTTTTATTTCTGTTTTACAGAATTGTAGTGATCTGGCTTTCGTATTCGGTTACAGTGTGAAGCTGGGCCAACATGTTTGCCGCTTTTCTCAAGCCATCGCCCACTTGTCGTGTCCTGCTTCTGATGCTTCGGAAACCTACAAAATCATCCTGTTTCCTTGCAGATATACTCGTCCCTTTTGATTGCAAACAGCAAATCATTACTAAACATTAAAAGCAGAAGTCATCCCACGTAACTGTATTTAAAAAGAAGTCCGTACAAAGTTATTTTAGGTGGAATCCGTGCTAAACACTCTGGAAGTTCACTGAAAGTCTTCATTTGCAATTTTTGTTTATCCTCCAACGCCTCGCTTTCATGACTAGGCACCAGTTTTTTCCCGCGTGTCCGCCATTTGTGAATACGGTGTATAATATATCGATATTTCTTACAGATCCAAGCATGAATATTATTGGCCACATGATTCTGGAGATGGTGCCATTCTCATTGGCAGGCTCGGCTTTGTTTTTCCCACCAAATGTTGGGAAAATTGTTGGAATAAGACTGATGAAAAGACCAGCCGCCACGACTATAGCGCTTAGCAGCTTTAAAGACGTAGGCTTCTTGCGTAAAATCAGAAATCTGTGAAGAAATAAATAAACAGTAGAATTAACGATTGTTAAGATTACTTTAAGAGAGTTGTGTCATAAAATTTATCAAAATTCAAACAGAGGGAACGGCCGCCAAATTGAGTGAAACTTAAAAAAAAGCAATCAAAAAGTTAGAGTAAGGTATAAATCACGCAACAAATAAAAAAGGAGTCATAGATGGACAAACTTGAAGAAGATTGAAACGGATTGCAATTGCGGTTTTTCAAAGTTCATTTTTGTTCTTTGTAACGTTTGACAAAATGCTTGGGCGACATAGCTGTGATTTTGCCATTCACAGGTTATTTCGCAAGTTTCATAGCGAATAAACAAGACACGTATCTGACATTAAAAACAAAATGAACAAGGTAGCCGTGACACGTACAGCCCGTTTAACCCCACGGGATGCGTGGTTCAAAGAACTGCGAAGAGACAAGCAAAAAGTAGCATAAACAATTCTTTTTTTATTTCCTTGGATTGTGGATGGGAGCACTTAAAACCACGCTTCCACGCTTAATCATAACTATAACAAAATTCTCAAATCTGATTGGCTATCAACTGTCCTGATCATGGCTTCAGCACTAATAGGACAGTGTAAGGGATGGACCATTGGAAAAGTGATGGGGGGGGGGGCGTTGGGGCCGCAGGAAGATTTTAATTAAAAATGTATATATTCCTACGGATTTTGCACCCCCCCCCCAAAAAAAAAAAAAAAAAATATTAAAAAAAAAAAAAAAAATAAAAATAAACAAAAGAAGGAAAGGGCAGTGAAAGACATAAACATAAAAATAATAAATAAAATGTCCTCATATGGTAGCGTCACTAAAGTACCATGTAGAGGTCAAGAGAAGAAAGGGGAGGGTGAGGGGGAGGAGCAATGGAAAAGGGGGGGGGGGGGGGGGGTTGGGGCCGCAGGAAGATTTTAAATAAAAAAGTAAATATTCCAACGGATTTTGACCCCCCCCCCCAAAAAAAAAAAAAAAATATTAACAATAAAGATAAAAATAAAAATATGCACATGGAGGATCTGTGCAGGTAAGACTATTACAGATCAACTATGAAGTGAATGACAAGTCCAGATTGGACATAAAACGTGATTTTTTTAATCTCAACATGACTCATGAGTAAATATTGTTAAGGACTACCTTGATTGATACAGTTGTAGGCTAGACACTGAAATTAAAGAGTTCAACATTTTACATGTATTATTCACAAATCTTTACTGACCAAACAGCTAGGAACTTTTTGGAATAAAACTTCCCCCATGTATTAATACATATATTCACAAACCTCTTTGCAGTGAAGATGCGTGCTTTCCACAACAACAATTAGTATTACATTGACTTTCTTTGTTGACAGTAAATTGAACAACCCAGAGACTCTTTCTCTAGAAAGATCCTGCGTATGAGGGCCCCAGTCAGGTGAATATGGAATATGTTCCAGATCAATTACGAAGTGAATAACACTAAAATTACAACTATTCTGGACTAGTTTGATCTTTCCTCCTAGTACTAGCCCGTTGAATATCTTAGCCAAATCTTGATTGTGTGACATTTAATAAGTGAACTACCGTTTAATATGTGTTGCTAGTCATCAGTTCCTTCGAACCCGAATAAGACTATTGTTGTAATACACCTTTGTTTCACTTTATTCATCGATCGCGTCAAAGGAACCTCACCTACTTAGGGATCTTACCGATAAGAAAAGCTAATGGAATGGCATTCGTGGTGAGTTCCAAGAACCAGAATTCGAGTTATCAAGGTAAATTTTGATCAAGGGAAACGAGATTTAGTTGGAGTTAGCGGTGAATTCGAGTTATCCGAGCAAAAGTGACTGTAAAGTAGGGTCACATGCAAGGGAAATGGGACTTAGTTTAAGTTAGCGGGGAGTTCGAGTTACCGCGGTGCTTCTCATTTCTGTACATCTAGACGTGCGCGTAATATTGCGTTACGTGGCGATTTAGGGTTCATGTGGGAAACATAGACATTCAAATTGAAGGTTGTGATAGGATCAAAAAACAAACCCAGATCGCTTCAATAAGACACAGAAACACAAAATAGAGCACAATCAAGTTTATTTTATTTCTTTTTTTCCGCGATACTAAGCCAAGATAAGGGGGATTAAACCCATTTACTCGCTACGTCACGCAATGTTACTAGATGTATCAAAAGTAGCAAGCGTTCAATCAATGTATTTGTAAAAAATAAAATGTGAACTCCGATTTGAACGCACTCACCTAAATAAAACAGTCAGTGGAATAAGAAAGTTTCCCAGAATTGCCTGAAGATAAGGCGGTGTCCTCGATCCTTTGCTTGCAAAAACAATAAGCACGCCATTCAGGGCATCACAACTTCCAACTAAAAACAGCAGAAGACGAGGAAAACGCTTTTCTGTTTCGCCTATATCTCCGGGCCAAAATATTCGAATGAACATTGTTCCAAGTCCAAAAAGTATAAAGAAAGCTATAGACGAGAACGATAAAGCAAAATAAGGATTCATCGTCGCGCCAGTGACGGTGCCATTTGCGGCGTCAACCCACAAAGGTAAGACCACTTTATGACCAACTTCAGCACTTAGCAAAACAGTAGCAAAGAACAGATTAGCCCAAAGAAGGGGCACCGAACGTTTTACAAATGCTATCTTTACTCCTTTCCAGCTTCTTCCATTAACATTGCCAGAGCTTGATGATATGACCTCGCAGGAAACATAATGCTCATGTCGATTTGAGTGAGTCGGCATTTTGGCGGTAAAATAAGATCAGTAGTTGAGAATACAAGTACGTGGTCTCTATTTAGCTTGGACACTGCAAGCGTAAATAGGCCGGGGTTTTGTTGTAGTCGATCGTATTGAAGTCAGCAATACATGTTGCATAACTGGCTGAAGCTCAGTGACGTATGTCTATTTTAACATACGTGACCCACTACAGGATTTTGATGCTAAAGATGACAGCATGCTTCAACGCGCTAGTACATCATGCTAAGCGTGTCTAAAGTCACGGATCTACGCATATTCAATAATTATAGCAAAGAAAGACACACTAGGGTTTGTTTTGTCAAACTTAAGCTAACTTTATAGCACGCCAAACAAATGAAGGGTGTTTTTAAAATATACAAATTAAACTAGTGTGCGGTATCAGATTTCAAGAAGGAAATTGCACACATATATGGATGCATTATTTTAACGTTGTCAAAAGACAAAGAAAAACTTTATAACTTCTGAAAAATGATGCTAAAACATAACTCCAAGGAAGGAGGGAATCAAAAAGGGAAAAAGCGATAGTGGTTTGTAGAAAATTATTTCCGCGAGAGTTCACAGAGTTCATGTTTTTTCACGCTGTATCATATTTCAAGAAAAAAAATCCACATACACAATCTTTTTGTGTGGTCTCCTGCTTGTGTTGTTATTCCCTCAAAAAATCAAAACCGGCTTCTTCCTGTGCACTTTGTCTGATTAGGAGCCGATTTCGATGTAACTAGACCTTTCAAAGTCCCCCATTTTTTCCGCGTAAAGTCCGGCGCTTTGCGTTGTGGGCGCGCGGGCGGCCATCTTGATTTCAAATGTACCGAGTCAAGCCTGGGGATGAGTGTCAAATCCACTTAGCGGCCCCTCCCCTTAAAAGCCATCTTTTAGAATACGTTTCGCTATTTAAGTACTCAATTTATTCGTTTCAGTCGTGTGTTCATTGAGTAATTTCGGTGCCCACATTTTTATTATCCTTGTAGTTAAAGAAAAATTTGGTCTTTTTCGCACAATTAAGAGTTTCAGTTTCGTATGACTCCAAGTGCGAGGATAAGGCCTGTTTCAAACGTCGTGCTACTGTTGTGCTAAGCTGGCTCGACTGTAGCTGGACTGCAGCACGACACTAGCACGACTTCCAGACGTCGAATTTAATTCAGTCAAGTCCATTATGGCTCTTGATTCAGTCGAATAGGACGGCTGTTGCCGAAAACAAAACACAAAAATAAAGAAACGGTTTAGCAAACTTTTAAATGTATTCTAATGTATTTATAATTTATGAATTGAGTTCGGAGCGGCAGTAGCGCGTCGTTTAAAACCAAGTCGAGCTACTGCCGTGTAGCACGGCAAAGCTTGCCGTGCCACACGGCCGTAGCACGACTTGGTTTCAAACGTCGCGATACTGCCGTGCTAAAGTCGAATTTAATTCGATCAATTTGGTTCGGCACGGCAGTAGCAGGACGTTTGAAACGGGCCTACGATTAGTTCCCGCCACTGGAGTCACTAGCAGCACGGCGCAATTTTAAACTTCAAACACGCTGTATCTGGGTTGTCGTTTAGAGTCAGATAAGAGAGGTTCTTCTGGTCCGGTTCTTGATAGCTGGCGCTCCACCCTAGATTGGGTGCTACAGAATAACTCCTCACGATTGCTTCCATCTGGGGTCAAAGAAATCTCTGGCGCCCTAAAATAGTTAAGGAAACATCTTGAGTTACTAGGCCATTCAAAAGATCGATATTGTTCCATCATATCCGCGCAATGGGCCCGTGTCTAATTCTTTGATTCAAGTACTGAGGGCTGTTTACATAAAGGGCGAAGATCCTAGCACCAGGAAGATAAGCGGATCATCTTAGCAACAGATGTTTTCTGTATTCAGTTTACATGGAAAACGTTTTGCTTGCAATTGTCCCTAGCGCTAGGATCTTCCTAGTACTAGGAACAAACCACACAAAAATGGCGTCCGGGTCGTTCAGTGGGTAAACATTAATCTTTAATTCATTCTTTACTGTCAACCACACGGACCGAAATCTCTGCATGTAAACCCAATGAAAAGTTCTCCACCTTCAAGGGATCTTCTTGTTGCTAGCATATTCCTCCCTTTATGTAACAACAGCCCCTTAATTTGGTCAGTTTAAGTGTACCATACCTCCGCGTGCGTTTGATACTGGCATCATACTCGTACCCAGTCGCCACTTATTATCTATTCTCGCAAAGGAATATGGAAAGGCATTTTGACGCACGCAAAGGCTCTTGGGAAGGAGGCAGAAACTAGAAGCGACTGGATACGAGTCTGTACTGGCATATACTGTGGTAGCCTGTGCCAGATTCTCGGCCAGTGCAGACGAGCCAAGAAAGCGGGAAAGCAGTGAAAAAGCGATTGAGTGTAAAACAGCCTGCTCACTTTCCTGCCCACTACTTCAGAAAAACCGTTTCTCAATGGGGTGGCAGCTTAAACGGTTGGTGGTTATTTTTTTCCAATTTTAATTGATGGTTGACACGGTTAACTGTTTAGAACTTTTGACGTTTGACGATTAGTATTGACGGAAATTCAGTCCAAGAGTGTAAGAAGATATTACAAATTAATATTACAGCAAGGAGCCCGAAAGTGTCACCGCTTTTGATTTATTCATGTTATATTCTTTCGTACAGATTTAATCCAATCAGAAGCCAACTGGAAACTGTCCTCGACTTCTGATTGGTTGATCTCTGCATGAAAGAATGTGTTACTGAGTTAATTAAAGAAGGTCACTTTTTTGGCTCCTTGCTGTAACTGTTTTGTTTTGGAGGTGGTCTTAGCCTTTCACTAATTAAATTGTGTATTTTTTTTTTGTTAAGCAAGTTGTAAGGTCATGTTATATCTCGAGAGAGAACATGAAAACTGGTTTTACAAGATTGGAAATTCTTCAGGAACCAGATGAGTCCATCAAGGTCAGCTGAAATAGTGAGATTTAAGACACCCAACTTCTCTTTCCCAGGTTTTTCCTTAAAAAGATTCTTACCCCATGTTGTAAGCAAAGATGGCCGGTAACATGATGACAAGCGCTCCAATACTGAACCAGGTGCTCGCGCGAACCTCGGGGTACCATTCGAATGGAATCTCACGGAATAAAGTCCAGAAAATGAATCCCAGTGGAGTGACGAGCGACTAAACATAAAAATATAGAAAATATCAGGTATTGATTAAGCCAGATTTGTAGGTGTTATTTTGATTTTGGTTTGACTGAAAAGACAGCTGAGAAAAAAGCAATGGTGCCACCAACTTTATCCTCGGAGACCCAGGGGATGTCAGTCGGGTCGAGAGAAAAGGCGCGCCAATAACTCTTTGGCAACCTGATATACTATCAGTGAGTGTATAATATAATCGCGACAGAGTTTGAAATGAACCCGGGGAGTACTCCTGGGAATTCTTGTTGGGGGTGTGCTGCCCAGTTCTCCTAATCCCGACCCTATTTAAAATCAAAAAAATATTTCTCCTTTTTTTAACTTGTTCATTTGGAATTGATACAATAAATACGTTCACACACTCCCCTTGTTCGCTTGAAAAGCATACCTGATGAAAAACCAAAATAGGCAAAGTGTATACCCGTTTTCAGACCAAAGCGGCGAAAAAACCCTACCCGATGGGGCGACACATACCTATATAGCTTATATAAGGGAGTACACCCCCCCCCCCCCTGGGTTGTAATATAAAAAAAAAAAACAGTTGCACACCCCCCTGTTTCTCGTGAAAAAGACAAACGATGAAAAAAAAAAAAATAGAAAATGTGTTACCCTTTTTAAACCAAAAGGGGGGAAAAAACCCCCCCCCAGGGGGGCGCACCACCCTAAAAAGTTTTATAAAGGGGTAACCCCCCCCCCCCCCCCTGGGGAAATGAGGCGAATCCCCTTTCATAACTCATTTTGCGCAAGTTCGCAAGGAGCGTTGTTAGGTAACTAGAGCAAAGATCGTTGTTCTTTTTAAAGCAAATCCTCACCGAGACAATAGCCAGCAAAGTTGCTCCTTCCGCATGTCGTAGCAGATTTGCGCCAGCGATGTGAGATATAATGTGCGTGGCAATGTACAAGGTTCCTCTAAGGCCTGGGGCTTCACTACAACCTGCTCCACCAAAGAAACATTGCAATGCTGACCACCAACTGCAAACGTGAGACACGATTTAGTTAGGAACATGTCTCTAGCATGATTAAGAAATACCGGTACTTCTGCGGCCTTTCCGTGCCTTGTGAGGCTGAGGAGAGGTATGGGATAGAGAGAGCAGATTTCTCGCTCCACCCTCTCCCCCCACGAGAACACGAGAACTGCCTAATACTCAGGCTATCGGCTTTAAAGTTTTCTACCAAAAGAAAACCGTAAGTCTATGATTGGAAAATATATACCTTTTCCCGAAGTTCTTGATGCCGTCGACGTGTCCATACCACGGGAGAATATCTGTCCAGAACAAGGCCACGATACAGAGAAGTTCATAGGTGGATGTCCAAAATAAAAAGTGCACCAAGTTCATTTGTTCTCCCGACTTGTCACTCTCTATTTTTACTCCTCGCTCTTCCAGGACGCGCATAAGAGCTTCTGGAACCTAAAGTTTTCACAAACAAGTAAAATGAAAACAAGAAAAACATAACTAGCATTGCCACTGACCCAATCAGAAGTCATAATTTATCCCATGGCTCTCTTCGTGACGTCCTCTCTCTCCCGGTCTTCTGCGGCCTTTCCGTGCCTTGTGAGGCTGGGGAGAGCAAAAGAAAGTACACGAGGGACGGCGAGAAGGGGGTATGAACATTGCCGTCTTATTTTCTTGTCCCATCCTCCTAGTCTTCGCGCACTTGCTACTACAGGAAAAGGCGAGCGAAAACCGTCAACACGGCAGCTGTAAAGGTTCCTTAAAATCAGTCAATTTGCCGAGTTTAAACAAGATTTGTTGAAAACTAACAAGATATAGCTCAGTATGAGTGGACGTTTGTAGTCATTGATTGTGATATATCGCTGCAGGTAAAACAAACGGTAAATCCAATACCGTTTACTATAAAAGAGCAATCTGTTACACACACAGATTGTGTGGGCCCATGGGATTATACCATGCTCTCCAAATTTGTACGCGTCTACTCAAAATTAACAACAAGCCGAAAATCGGTTGTTTTTATAACTAAATTTGGGAAGAATTCTCGATATTTTGTGGACGTTTTTAATATTACCATTATTCCACTCGCAGTTTTTGGATATGAGATGATTATAGCCATCTCGGCGCTACGCTTTCGTTGACTATCCAAAGAGCACAAGTGAAATCTGCATGTGATAAATATCGATATTTCTTACACATCCGAGCATGAATATGACTGGCCACATGATTCTGGAGATGGTGCCATTCTCATTGAGAGGCTCTGCTTTGTTTTTTCCGCCAACGGTGGGAAAAATTGTTGGAATAAGACAAATGAAAAGACCAGCAGCCACTACTACAGCGCACTGCAGCTTTGAAGAAGTAGGCTTCTTGCGCAAAATCAGAAATCTGTGAAGAAATAAATAAACAGTACGATGAACAATTGTTAGGAGCACTTAAACTGTACGACTAAGTTGGGGAGGGCGGGAGAGTCTGTCCTATCTCTCAGAGGATGACGCTCAGACACTCAAACTGACAGCGTTTTAAAAAGATTTCCTTTCTGGAGAGCATTTTCTTCTACGTTTTGAGAAAATGCCAGTAACGAAATTTGTCGACTTTGGTTTGTTTATTCCGTAACGTTGTTTGCCTCGTCCTCCTTTGGCAGAAAAAAAGAAGCACGATGAAACAATACAGAATTTTACTTTGTAATACCGTCACATTTTCTCGCGTATTCTCCTTCTTGTACATGAAAGTTTTTGAGAACAAGTCTCTACATGTGTTCAGATAGCGTGACTATTTTAACCACAGGCATCCCAAACTCACTATATGAGCGCTTGTCGAATGAATGATGAATGAATGAATGATGGTTTTCACATGACGTCACTAAAATTCAAACCACAAAACTACCGATCCTACTGAGATTTTACTTTCATGGCGTATTAGAGCAGTTGAAAACTAATTTTCAAGCAAATTTTCGCTTCAAACTGAAGGGTTCTTGGTTTTGTAATAGAGTACGCTTGAATGTCTAAGCCTTTGCGTGACGCAGCATTCACGTGACGGCCGAGAGAGCTGTCATTTAGGTTAAAAAAAGTGACTTTTTTCGAGGAATTTTGCTATCTAAACAGTTCAAGTATTAGAAAAAGTGTTACTTTAATGTTTATGAGTTCCTCTAGGAGTAAATTCACGCTTTTGTAGCAAAACTCGGTAACAGATGTTTCTGTTGGTTTCCGTCCGCCATGTTGGAGCTCATCCGGATGAGCTCCAGCATGGCCGGCTCCATACAAGGTTCTATAAATTTGGTTAAAACATTTCCTCGGATATCTCGTATACGAATTATTCCTTTGACCCAAATCTTGGCGAGGGTCTTTGTATATTTACCTGCTTTCATTTTTCAGATTCTAGACTTTATCTGTCGAATGGTTTTGATTTTGATTTTGATCTATTTTGAATGGCGTGACACTGAAAACCCGCAATTAATACGTGTGGTATCATATTGCGTAATCCTCAAAGTCCTTGGCCGTGAATAAAATTAGATAGGAATAATTCAGGTAATAGATTCAAGAAGATATATACTCACTGGAATTTTCACTAAAAAACGCTTTACTTTTTAATTATTTACCTGGTGTGTTCTTAATCGCTTCCTGTGCGGTTGCTTTTTTTCGATCCATTGCGATTTAAGCGATTTGCCTTCAGAGTTTCCACTATTACAGAGAGGAGTCTGACATGTGTTCTCATCGTGAGTTTGGTATGCCTGTGAACGTGCCATGTGTTTTTTAAAACCAAGTTTTTTAATGTACATAAAACGGACTCACCTGAATAAAACAGTCAGTGGAATAAGAAAGTTTCCAAGAATTGCCTGAAGATATGGCGGTGTCCGCGATCCTTTGCATGCAAAAAGAATAAGCACGCCATTCAGGGCATCGCAAAAACCAACCAAAAACAGCAAAAGATGAGGAAAACGCTCTTCTGTGTCGCCGATATCTTTAGGCGAAAAAATTCGAATGAACATTGTTCCCAGTCCAAATATTATAAAGAAAACTATAGACGAGAACGACAAAGCAAAATAAGGATTCATCGTCGCCCCGGTGACGGTACCATTTGCGGAGTCAACCCATAGAGGCAAGACCACTCTATTGCCTACTTCAGCACTTAGAAGAACAATAGCAAAAAACAGGTTAGCCCAAAGAAGCGGCACCGAACGGTTTAGAAATGCTATCTTGATTCTTTTGCCGCTTTCTCCTTTAAGATCGCTAGAGCACGATGACATGACCTCACAGGACAAAATTGCTGTCGATTTGAGTGTGTCGGCATTTTCGTAGTCCCGGTTGCAGTTGATTTCCATTTGAACAGAAAGCTTCAAAGTCAGTTGATATCAGCAGATCGGAAAACTAGTTTGTGGTCACTATTTAGCTTGGTCACGGCAAGCGTAAATTGGCCAGGGTTTTGTTGTACTTGTATTGAAGTCAACAGCAATACATATTGAGCAAAACTGTCTAGTGCTCATCATATGATGCGCTGTTGGTATCAAAGGTTTCCTCTTGCCCGCAGTCAAAAGGAGTTTCGTATGGTCCCGCATTTGAAAAATTTATTTTTCGGAGGGAGAGAAGCGACGACCGGAAATACGTCTGCGGTTCGCAGGCTAGGGGTTAAAGGAAATCGCTTCCCGATTTAGTAAATCGCTATAGATCGGGAAAATAACCACAAAGCAAGCAAAGACAAGTTAAGTAATAAGGTAGGCTGTATTGTATTAAAAATACCGAGTACCGCATTTATATTCGAATAAGCGCCCAGCTCTGAATAAGCGCCCATCGAAGGCAGAAAAAGTTAATAAGCGCCCAGCCTCGAATAAGCGCCCACCCCCTCCTCCCCACCTCATTCTCTGCGTCTTCGTTCCGAAAGCCAACATGTGTAGTACGAGACGAAGACTCGAGGTACAAGATTGGGTAGAGAACAGTTCAATTGGGCAGACATGTCATGTTCAATAAAGTTAGAATTGTGTACGAGTCGTGAAGTCCCTTCGTAGTTAAATCTTCGGTCCAGAAAACCTCATCACGAACGCACAGACTAGACTACTGGCTCCTGACAGATTTAGAAAGAAAGATGAAAACCTCTTTTGTTTCTTTCCCTGATAATGTTACGCCTTGGCATTCTCTTTGAAAGCACTCCTCCATTTGCAAAGTCAGTTTCAAAATGCACGGTGGTCGGTTGCTCGGGCTTTTCCTCCCAATACCTCTGAAAACTAAGAGTAAGGATGGATCGAATATGACGAAACTTTTTTTTTGTTTTTTTTTTTTTTTGTTTTTTTTTTTTTTTTAAGATTTTTT